TGCCGATTTTTATCTCCTCATTTCCATTGCTATTTCACTGGCCTTTCCCGGTCTCCCTCATTGTCCGGACATTGCATGTACTTATATTAATCGTTGTTCTGGTTGTTAGAAAGGGCGTCGGTCTCGTGACCTCCGAAAAATCACGGTTTTCATCATGAGGCGTCATAATTCTTCCATGAACTCGGAGGAATTGAATTATTTTTTCTAGTTAGCGTTTTTTTAGCGAGTTAGATTTTTTACGGGATGGAGTCGCCAACCCCATGACCAGCCCTCCTCTTTTTGTGGGCTTCAGACCATCATTAACTCTAGAAGAGCTACAAGAGGAGTTTTGTTCTTGTTCGGTTTTTAATTGTTGTTTTCTTCTTCCTTTCTTGAATCTTGTTAAGCGTTTTTCATGGAGATCAATTCTTTATGATGATACTTGTCGCGACACAGAACATCCTGACACGTTGAAGTTGCAAAATTATAGTCTGCTTCGTTAATAGTACTGTTCTAATAATAGACGTAATCCTAAAATTATAAATTTATAATGATGTAATTGCCTAATCTATAAGATCTTACGTGGGAGTCATATCCTTGTCTACATCGACTTATACGATTGTAATAATGACTAACATATGACGGCGAACACATCTAGGCTGAAGATAGAACAATATATCCAATATGAATAAAAGGTATAGGCTAAACAAGAATGATCACACCCACAAGGTGAAGCTATGCCATTCGAGGAATTTCAGTTGATTGAATTCATCCTTCTCGACTTCTACATTGTTTGGCTATTTTTGCGTTAAGAATTGAATATCTATTTTCCCAGTTGTCTCGTGTTCAGCTTTGAGGATTGTGTGGTTAGGGACCAATGCAATCACAAAGTTAGTGCATTTTTGATCCCATTTCAGTTTTCTTCCATGGTAGTTTTTTCTTCTTCAAGTAAATCTTGTAAGGATTGGAATCTGTTATTGAAAGTTGTCTTGAATTGGTTGAGTTTGTTAGCATCTTGACGGAAGGCTATGTTAATTTTTTTAAAATGCCGTTCCTCCAGTTGTCCAATATTTCTTTAGCTTCAGTTTCATCTTAGCAACCACCAGTTGTTGGTTATCTGAAATATGTTAGCTTGTTGTGGTATTGGTCCTAACTACGAAATCCTTAAAGCTGAACATGAGATAACTGGTAGATAAACATTCAGCATTTAACACGGAAAGAGGGCTGACAATGGTAAACTCCGTAACATTCATCCAATAGGATGTCATGGCTTAGCCCCGCAGGTGTGGTCATTCTTGTGTAGACAGTGAAATGACTTCCTTGTAAGATCATATAGATTAGGCAGTTACATCATAGTGTATCTACAATTTCAGGAATTGGTCTATTTTTTAGCAGAATGGATAACAAACTAGACAATAATTTAACAAGTCACCCTCTTTGTCCTCACGTCTTCCATTAACCTTCTGTTTTTTTATGATATAAATATGATCTACCTGGTTCTGTGTAGTGTGATCCGATGAGACTTATTATGATAATTAGAAGTATTTGAATTGTACTATGAACTTGTAATCCCAGGAATAACGCAATTTATTCAAGAAGTATCAGATGAACTCGAACGAATGTATTGTATTTGGAATTCAAAATTAACACAGTCATCAATACTAAGAAGTCATTGATTTATTTAAACATCACATCCGCCACAGCTCGAATTGAAGTGTGTCTGTAATCGATTGTTTATCTTCTTCTTAATTTCATCCTACATCTGTCCGATGGTGTATTGAATGTACACGCTGTATTATCTAGAATGCACTCATTAGTATTAGAATTAACAACGGAAATTGGAACAGACTCACCTGGGTTCTAGAATTGTATACAATCAGCATGTCGGTTGTGTAGTGAAACCATTGATATTTAGAATTTGCATCATGGACTTTCCAACATTATCCTCCCCCACGAAATAATGTTGGGTCCTTGATTCGCAATGTTTTAGCCAATATGACGTCCCCAATTTGCATTATCTCAAATCTTACGCACCGACTACTGTATGTGAGTATTTGGGAATAAACACTGATATATAATTTGAGGTATTCCATCATGTGACTTTGACTTGAATAAAAATCATGATACATATTCTTTTTGTTATTCATATTAGAATACACAGATGGATATACATTGATATCTGCGAAACAATCGGATGGAAAACATTCATCTGCCTCATATTCATTAGGATAATCTTGGACTTGATTTGGATTCTCTGTCTGTGCAAACTTCACTTCTGGGCAAACTGGTTCTATGGTTGCTTCGGAAAATTTTGCTAACCCCTCTGTATCATTATACCCCTGACTAGGGATTCTATTCAACATGCATTGTTCGTGAGAGTATCCAACATATGACACAATAACATCAGAAATATGACTAGAATTCAACTCATAAGAAACATATTTTTCACATTCATGAGGAATATCATTAGAGATAAATTCATTATGAGGACCACTGACACTTGATATGATATCAGAATTCGATTCTTCTGAAATATTTTCCTCAAATTGATTAAGAGTTTCATTAGGTAATGGATCATCAGAGAATTCAACATCTACCATGACTGAATTTGGTTTTTGATCATGATTTGACTCATTTAACATTCTATTCTCAGAGTTGTAAGAAATTACATCAGAAGTATGTGAATTATTACGACAAACCATATCTGGCACAATAACATGAGAAATCTGATAAGTTGATTGGTTGAGAATTTTCGCCTCCCAATGACTGTGGGTTTCATTCAACTCTGGACTGTTATATAACGTTATACCTCTTCTAGATAAAGATAACTGATCATTAAAAGCATCCATCTTAGCATTACTTTCAGCGAAATGAACCATGGTATTACAAACTGACTGAATATGTCCAGTTATACCACATTTAAAGCATTTAGAATTACGAAATATACATGAATTACATGGGTGAAATTTGCCGCAGAACATGCATTTACTAAACTTGTGCTCATCATCATGGACTGTTTCACAACTCAATGAAGTATTATCTGAATAAATTTGATTACGCATCGAACTACGACGACTGTTTGAATAAGTGGAATTCCTGATGTTCTGACGAGTCATTTTATCGGATTTTCCTTTCTTACCGCATTCGGAATTTGTATACTTTACATGATCCAACAGAAGTTGCTTGAGAGTTGCATAGGGGAGTGAAATCGGTTTGTCTGGAAGTGCCAAAATCTTTATAAGGCTGTATGCTTCATTCCCGATGAATGTAAGGAAATGGGCCACAATATTAAAATCCTCATCATCTTCCTTGGTCATAGCCCAGATTTCGAACCTTTCCATGTACTCCTCAAAAGCATTAAAATCTGAATTTATATTTAACCGTTCCCTCACAGGCTCAGTCGCGACGCCAATATGATAATTAGAAGTATTTGAATTGTAGTATGAACTAGTAATCCCAGGAATAACGCAATTTATTCAAGAAGTATCAGATGAACTCGAACGAATGTATTGTATTTGGAATTCAAAATTAACACAGTCATCAATACTAAGAAGTCATTGATTTATTTAAACATCACACTTATGCAGCTTTGTGTAATTGTTTGTTGATGAATATTGTGCTGCCTATAATCATTTTGTTGAATGCACGCAAATTCGCAAATCTGTCAACGTTCTTGTTCCTTTCTCCTAGTCCATGTCGTAACATGATATCTTCATATCTGGTATTGTCCATTCCAACCTTAGCATTTAGGCCTATCATCAGGATCACCACGACTATATCCGAGTACTTCGCTACGATCAGCTGCAACTCGCCATAAAACTGACCCTTCTAGTATCCACTGCGATCACTGGTGGGTGTATAGTACTGAAAAATAATCACTGTGGTCCCCTCCTTTGTTTTGGAAGATGCTTTGATAATTCTAGATCCATGAGATCCCCATCACATAGAAGCTTTTCGTGCGTCTTCGGTTAGCATTAGTGTTGAAGATACAACTAGTATTCTGATTTTACAAACTGCTGCCAGTGGCACCTTCTATATACGAAGCTTTCCCCAACCGAATGACACCAGAAGTCAGATGTGAGGAGACAGAAAAGATACATTTGATACGTTATCAACATATCGAGAAGCGTTTGATTTAATCTGGCTAGTGAATGTTGGAGCAGTGTCCCACGCTGGTTCGAGACGTGATCTGGTACGGATGCATGACCGAAAGCCTTCAGTTAAACAAGTCCACTTAAACAACGTGGTCAGCATCCAATGTCGAACACTTAGTTAGCTATTGATTTTAGGGATTTATTTACAGCTACTGTGTAACTCACTGTGTTTGTGAGTCGTCTTTGTGACCAGAATACAATGAAACTAACCCCGAATCTAGTCTCTACTGTCCAGCTTGGGTCCAACGGATTTTACGTATTCCTAACACCGCCAAGTTTTATCCTTTCATTTCCTCGAACATTTGGCCGGCACTCACTGCTTCCTACATTACAAAGACTTTCTGCGTACCTATGTCAATTGGCGTTCAAGCTGTTAGAAAAGCCTTCTGTCTCACGGCTAACAATGTATATGGACTCTCTCTATGAGGCGTCGTAATTCTTATAAATGAAGACCATCCAACTACCAGTAAAAATTGTGGATGGTTTGAATGATTTTTCTCATACTCATTTCCCATCATTTTTCCTGAGACTGGCAGCAAACGAGAAGGGCTGCAGGCAGATGTGGTGGGATATAAAGTTGGTCAGACCATGTTTATTTACCTAAAACAATATAATCTTGAAAATCAAGAAGGTTTTTCTCCTTATATGCATAGTCATACATCATTAAAAATCACAAAAGCAAAATTAGGTTGCATCACTACCAAACGTCGTTCATGTATTCAAACTAAAGTTGGGTATACTAGGGAACCTCAATTTCCAGGATTAACGCACAGCACACCGTCATTTTTAAATCAAGCTAAACTGAAACAGCTGTTCTATCCTGAATAATCGAAACTTACGTAGTGGAAATTTTCAATGCTGTAATCTGTCCAAGTACAAGCGCGCAAAATGCATGTAGTGCTATAGTTATGCTAAATGACATGAACTCCGGCGGTCTACATTGTGTTGCTGATTCAGATAACGCCTTGAAGCTAAAGATATCATTCTCTGCAGGGAAATGTTCCCAAGAGTGTTCAGTCAGTTCAGGTATGGTGTTTTAGCCTGTTTTTACTACCTGGGTTTGCACTTTCCTTTTCGATTGATTATATTGTACCTGGATTATCTGTGAAAACTGGCAAAACTATGTCGCTTAGGAATTAGATGTTTTTAGCTGAGGGGCCTGAACACTTTGACTCAGTTTCAACAGGTCTTTTGACTCAACTGATCTACAATATCCTGGATACCTATTTTCTAAATCCTGATTTCTGGATTTCTGTCCCACTCTCCGCAAAATTTTAATTTGTTTTTGACGAAGTTTCCACGAATAGCGTGGTTTTCCACAAAATTTCAGGGTCCCAGTCGTATTTATTTCAATAAACTGAGATCATGTGTCAATCCTGGCACTGGGATGTCATTTCTACTAACCAACATACAGAGTTATAGGCAATTTTTTGCTCATATCTCGTTTATAAATTAGTACATCGACAGATGGAATGGCTAGTTCTGTGGGATGATGTCAGGAAAAGTTCTTGTAATGATTTACTTTAACAATATCTTGAGTGATATGATCCCCTTACTCCCAGAAATTATGGTCTAATGTGGATAAACTAGTCACATCTTGTGATATAGTAACCGTTATTTTCGTATCGTCGTGTTTGCGTCAATTTTTTAAGCAAAAGGCATACTTACCATCTGTATCCCTTGTTTAGTGAATTTCCACCAATCCTACTATATCATGTCATCGCTATCACTTCGTTCTTATTGCTTGATAAGTCCTATAATTTCTTTTGTCACAGAGCCTGATGTTCTGACTGAAGTCACAAGCAGAAATCTGTATACCGTGCTAAATGAAATTCACCAAAATCTGGTTCGCAGAGATCCGCGTGGTATTTTTGCCAACCCTGTAACTGACGATATTGCTGTTGGATATTCAGAGGTTTGTCACTTAACGTTTTTCCTTTGCGATTTCGGATACAAGATCTGTAACTTCGTTTTTACTTGCACTAGGACTCACTCGTTATCCCATGTACTTGACGTTTTTTAATATCTATATTATTACACTATCATAGTTGATGCTATTAACGATACACTCAAATTAAAATGTTGAAGACCTAGATTTTATTTATTCAGAAGAATATTGAAATACGTTTTAATTTGCAAAGTTGTTGCATTCCATGTATAGGTTTCTACTCATCCAATATTCTGCTTAAAATTACAGTTAAGTAGCAAAATATTGATGGTTCTCTAAAATCAGTAGCAACAAGTTCGAACTGCTACGAAACAGTATTATTGTCTTTTCGTAAATTATTCTAGGCTAATTGCAAGTCGGTCAATTCTATTTCCTGTCATTCGCATTGGTTACAGCAATGTAAGCCATAGATTCGAAGCCCTTTTCGTCTGCTTCATTATGAAGAGTCGAGTTATATCAGTGGCCACCACATCAATATTGCATTTCAAAGTGCGTTTCATAAATCAGTACTAAATAAAGATGTTACACTATCTACTGTTTTACTGCACTTATATTGTTGACGGTAGATGGTGCTCTATGTCAGTGATTAAATTCGCAGTTGTAAAAGGTACGACTGTTAAATGCAATTCTAGCAATTATTTCCACAGCGTTTTCAGGCAAGACTTTCATCTTCCAACTAAAATACTAATATACTCAGTAGTTCATTCTGATCTACTTTATGGATGTAAGATGTCTTTTAAGTATAGTAGGTATGAGAAGTATAATTTGCAAGTTACTAGCTTTTGATTGTAGATATCTTCATAGCATTGTTTGTGTATACAGGATCACAGAGTGAGCAGAGTTGAGGCTAGATATAGAGTAAAAGGTAAATACGATGTTGAGGTTGAGAATTTGTGTTGAATAAGGTGGTTTAAACATGTATTACCTGCGGCTATTCACCTTCTACTTCTAGGCGTGATTTTCGCTGGCGTGACAGTAGGTCGTAAAAAGGAATGTGGACCTCGAAACCAAAAAGTAGCATCAATCCATGAAGTCAATGTCTGATGGACTAACCGAAGTTGGTAGATTAAGACTACTTCCATGGAGTCCTCACTGTTTTCGTAACCAGTGGTTGGAGAGGTTGAGTGATGTAGTTCGAAATCGGCCGCAGTAGCGTGAATGGATTTTCTGTTTACCTTCTGTTATATCTTTAATTACAAGATTGTATTATACGTTTTTATTGTGTTAATGTACTCTTTCTTCTCGAATCATATTGCCTGTACCTAGTCTTTCCTACTATCAGTTACACTGTTACTACTTCTGCCGCTCTGGAATGTCTTAGTGTGTTTCGTGTACCCAACTATCACCTGCCTCGGCACCCGACGTTATCTGGTGTAGGATTACTCTGAAAGAAATCTAGGGATGAGCAAATCAAGACACGGGATCAACCCTTAAAACCATTGACTGTCGAATTGATCTGTGTAATCAGGTACATATTATCTTGTTGGAGTCTGTGTAACTATCGTAACCATTAATTGAAGACTGGGTGAAGTGGCTCGGAATCATTCACAATGGCACAGGTGTATTCACCACTTATTTTCCCTTAGTTCCTAAATCCTAAAACTCCCTTATACCTTTTTGCTTGTTTTTTTTCGACACTTAATCCTTTTCACTCTTACTTATACTGTTACCACTTTCACTACTCTACGATCAAACATTTCTGGAAGTAGCGTTTGTTGTCTTGATAATTTAATCCCAGTTTTCAACCATACCGTTATTAAGTCGCCAATGTGTAACCTATGTGATGTTTGTTTTCAAGAAGGAATTTATAAATTCAATTTGAAATAGTTTGGATTATCCCGTTGTTGATATTTTTACTGAAATTTGAGCAGTCTTGCTTGGCATATGAACATTTTATGCAGATTACCTTTATGTCGTCATTATGACACATGTTGATATAGAATAAATGGAACGTGGTTAGAAGTGGAATCGCACGTTCTGAACTCCACTGCTAGCCACATCCCATCTATTCTGTATCGACTTAATAAATGCTAACCGTCACAAATATTTCTCTCTATACTTTCCAAGAATTTGTAATTTATCCAACTCACTCTTCAGTTATATTAATGAATATCACATTTTATTTATTATGCTAGGTGATCTCCAAACCCATGGATCTTGGGACAATATACAATAGACTTAAATCTCGGGCGTATTATCAGTCTGCTACAGAATATCTTGCTGATGTCACATTAATGTGTAACAACGCAATGGTTTATAATCCCCCGGATACAATCTATTATCAACGTGCACGTAAAGTGAGCGTTGAAAAAATGTTGTTACTTTTACTTTAACTTTTCAAGCTACATAATTACTCACTGAGATTACATTTTTCATCAGGGTTTATTTGATTCAAGTATTCAAGTTCAGATGGCTTTTTATGACTAATTTCTCAGACTTAATTCTTTAGGAATAGGGTGCTAGATTAAGATGACAAGTCGAATAATGAAGTTGTAAGCCTTCATCAACTGAGGTGGTTAGGATATGTGTTACGTATGCCCAACCATCGCCTATCTCAATGGCTTTTGTCTGCTGTAGCAGTAGATATGAAAAAAGACAGCACCAGTCCATAAAGTCACTGACATTTGACCGAGCTATATTGATAGGTGCAAACTACCTGGTTAGAGTCCTTGATTATCGTCACTAGTGATCAGAGATTTCAAACGAAATGGCTCACAATCGTTTGCAATGACATATAGGTGCATTCATCCCTTATTTTTCTCCAGATTTTAAGCTTCTGAACTCTTCATAATATTTTATTTCACTAATTTACATTTTCTTGAACTGTATCTTCAACGCCTAATCGTCTTTGTTGACACTAGTACTGTTACTGTGGCATGTGCTACTTTTGCTGACGGATATAAGTATTATGTAGCAGCAATCGGAAGTGGAATGCCTGTCATCAGAAAATTGAAATGAAGAAAACAGAAATGAAATCAGAGAGCAATCGAAGTAACAACAGAATTAGATCAATGGTGGAGTATACAAAGGATAGTGCAAAGATGTCCAAACGATGTATTTAATGTATGATTTTCATATTTTACTAAATCACTGTGTGATTGTACGTTAAGCAATAAAATTGATTGTCCCCACCTAAGTTACATTAAACCTTCACCTCTTAGCAAAGTCATAAAAGCTATAGTTAATTTAAGACGAAGGAGATCAACAGGTTCAGATATCTTTGAGGAGTGATGACCCAACATTTTCGGTACAATCAACTGAAACTTTAGCTACAATCTAAAAGATGGACATAATCCCATCTAAATGCTCTTGATTGCTGGTTCCACTACCTCATAGTGATGGCGAACATCTTGGGATAACTACAAACGAGTCAATTTAACTTGTATGATTTTCAAGATGATCGGATGCTTAACAACAGATCTGAGAGATTCATGCAGGCTCCAGACCTAGCCCTGAATGTACCAACTCAATGTTTACCTTCTTTCAGGTTTTAAAACATACTTATCGACTTCTGGTGTAGTCATATCCCTTAATCATTATGTTTTATTCTCTTCCGTGAATTTATCCAGTTATTTCTCGTTTTTGAGTATTCGTCACCCCTATAGTCTTGAAATAAAAACGTTCACAAGTTCCGTTGGTTAAAAAGTTATTCCACTGGGATTTCTTCTTAACTGTCTCTCCTTCTTGTGCTTTATCAGCTGTTAGCATTTTGTCGCAAACAAATGACCGCTTCATCATTACAGAAAGCGTGTAAAGATATACCTGGCGGATTGACTGTAGAGGAAATTGGCGATTTAACAAGTGTGGAAGCTCAAATGAATCAGATGAATCGCGTGAAACCATTCCACAGATCTTCAAAATTACATACTCACAGTCAAAGTGAACTAAGTGATCACAAATTCCGCTTTTCGCCTAAACGTGTTGATTCTAATCGTAATATTCCACCTACTGTACAGCCACTTGTCAGTCATTCTTTTCAAAAGCATCGTGGTCGTCCCAAATCTCGTTTGTCTACTTCCTCAAGGTTATATTACATAAATCGGAAAGCCCTGAAAAGTTATTCACATTTCTCATCAGAGGAACATTTGTCTCGTGATGATTTGGAAGTAAGTTCTTTGCTCAGAATTATTCCTTTCCTTTACACCATTAAAATAACATTGTGTACAGCCTCAAAAATATTATGCTTAAATACAGATCAAATAGATATAGGCATAAAAAATTTTAAGCGTTATGAGATTCTAATACCGATAATTATAGGAATTTAGCCAACAGAAGGACCTAACATCTGAAACCTGCATTTTATACAATTATAAGGAATATTAGTTTCAATATCAGTCAGTTGTTCAGTTCTTGATACTTTAAATGGAAACTGGGACTGTAGTGGTCTTGAAAACATAAAAGTATGTCCTCAGAACCCAAAATATAGCTGCTTCAGGCAGGCCACACACTGCCTTTTGGGGAGTAGTTCTTAATGCGTTAAATCTGTACACTTAAGCCTCCCTGCCGACAACAGAAATCCTTGGGGCGAATCAAAGTGTACTATGTTTAGGAGTGACCTTTAAGTCCTCCCTTTCATTGCCAGACCAAAACGTGGCACAAATCCATGAAGTCACTGACAATTGGACTGAACCATGCTGGTAGGGTAGACTACCTGGTTGGGATTCACGAGATGATAGAAATCGATGGTTAGAGACCTTGAATGACATGGCTCAAAATCGTTTGCATAGGCGCAGGTGCATCCAATCTTTGTGTTCTACCGAATTCTAATTTTCTGAATTCTTCATATCCCTATCCTTTTTCTCTTTCCAAATTTATTTCACTGTATTATACTCCTTGAATAACATCTTTGAACCCTAATCTTTCGGTTTACTACTTATACTTTTACTACTTCTACCACTATGGGATTTGAATCGACAACTGCATCTCTGTGTTAATGTGGTATAGCAACTTGAGCTGATGTACGTGCATACGAAGTTCTACGTTGTCGCTGACTGACTGACTGACTGACTGACAATACTTTCATATAATAAAGATGCGAGTAGTGTTGAGACGGTTATATTATTTGTAACGTGTGTACATGAAGATCCAACATTGTTTCGTAGAGGAGAGAAAATCATATATGTACGAAGTTCTATTTTGTGACTGACTGACGTATTCAAAAATCTATTCTCGTATTTGACTTATTTAATTCCGTTATTCGCTAACGCGATTTAAGTAGATAATTACATATGAAGGTAGCCGCGATGTATATTTTAATAACAATCATTATACAATCAAAGTGGGGTCAGATCAGTTGGCACCACTAAAAACCAATATATGACAAAAGGCTTTGCTATAAGGCTACGAGCTCAAGATTAACATATACCAATAGTCATTAGTCATTTACTATCCTTTATCCCAACAATGGGGGGGCAGTAAAAGCTTACATATATTTTACACAAATTACTTTGATATTAGCTATGTACTTCACTCACAGTGCAAGTTTATATATTTGGCTTTGATCCACACTGCTTGTATGATGGCTAATAATACATCCCAGCTACCCAAACGAAACTAAATGGAGTGAGGTTCGAGCTACGATCTAATAATCAAAAATCATGTGTCATTGCTTGATGAGGTAGATAGCTAACAAGTATTAACAAATGTTCTATTTCTTCGTCAAAAATAACAAGTTTTTGTTATTTTTAACGCAAAACTATGTATGGATAAACCATTGGTTACATGTTCCATATATTATTATTTTTCTCATAGAATAAGAATAACAACGACAATACAGAAAAGTGTATCTCGACTGTAGAATTTAAAAAATCATTTGGTGAGTTTATTTTATTCCGTAAAATGATTTCTAACCAGTAATTTGATCATTAATATGAACAGATTGTAAAGATCTTTGAATTTTTAGTTCATATCGTGAACTGACTCTAATTCGATCACCATTGAAAGTTAAGAAGCAATGCCCACGTGTTTTTTTCTTAGTTTAAGTCTCAAATGGAAAATGTACAGTCTTATTATGTTATGCAGTTGTCAAAGTCCACTGCTGGCATGCAAGCTTCCTGTATGCGAACGCAACCAACTAATTAAATGAGAAAAGCAAAAGCAATCAGAAAACTTTAGTTGGCTAAAGCGAATCGAAAAGATATCCAAAAATTTCATAAATATGGGTATATGTCTATTTTCTCAGAAGATTATTCCAAGTTTTCATCAATACCATATGTTTGCCAGTATCTCTCATTTATTATTTCACCTGTCTGATTGTCTCAGTGTATCAAGTCTTTAGTTTTAAGATGAAAATACTCTTAACGGCTATTTCAGTTTTAATTCATCTTTGTTTCCTCTTTAAGCCAGCCTTACAAGTTCAAAAAAAGTTCAACTAACTCATCAAGACACATCTATTAGATCATCTGTCAATACTCCTATCTTACCTATTCCACATCGACGTGGTCGAGGTAGACCAAGAAAAATCAAAATTGATGATATTCAAACATCTTCAGGAAGTTCAACTTTGAACATCTCTACACAACTTCAAGACTCTTCATTGATTTCTTCAAATTCTACACCCATAGATGGGAGGAAGCATTCTGAAAATTTATCTACACTATCACATGATCATTATTCTCGTTCTATATGTGTAAATAATAGTTTTGAAAATTCTATAACTAGTCATTCAAATATATCTTTGGGACCAACGCATTCAGAATATGAAAATTCTCTTACTGAATCTGTAATGAAAATTGAGTCAAATTCTCAATATACTCAAGAATTTTTAAATAATGAACCGATTGTTTTATTAAATATTGCACCATCTACTCCATCTTCATCTCCATTATCTGGATCTTCCTGTAAAACATTTATTGGTAAAACTTCATTCGTTTCGAAAAAATCTCAGAAACTGTCTTCAGACATCCAATCAAATAAATTATCTCAATTTAAAATGGATAGAAATAAGGAGATGTTTAATTATCTTGATAAAACAAATAGTGTAAATGATGAAGACAGTGTTTACAACGATAGTTGTGATGAAAATGTGGAAAGATCACATCATCAAATAGTTGATAATGTTCCGAATGAAATTCTCATTCAAGCTAAAAAAGCTGCTGAAGAGTCTGCTGCAAAATTAAAGAGAAAATATGAATTTATCGCAAGTAGTGAAAGCAATAATGAATACATTGGACCAAAAATTGTGTGTTTAAATGTAAGATTTTTATTTACAACTTCTGATTTAAATTAAGGGTAAACATTATTCATTATTTAGTTATTGAATTGCTTCTAGTGTGAAATAATTTAAATCTAACTCATTTACAAAGTGCAGCTTAATTTATTCTGCTTCCAGCCACATTGTCTTTGTGATGGCTGCCCAAAATGAGGCGACAATTTACTGAGTAGGCACATACTATCTTGAAGGCCAAGTGATAGGTGAGAGTTGCAAATCTAGAAGAGCTATTGTGACCAAATAGATTACTCACCTAGCTGATGTCACTGCCCACATTTTCCAGTCTCAATCAGTCTAGTATAAAGCTTATGCACCTGTGACTTGTGTACATATCTATTTAGCTTTTAGCAATACAACTTATTTATTCCTGATCTTCTTGCTCTGCGTAAATAGTTGGGCGACGACTAGAAAACGTATATTGTTACCTGAGTCAGAAAGTATAGCATAAAATACAAATTGGTCGGTGTTCGAACCATGAATTTTGCTGTCAAGAGCTATTTGGTGCCTTCAGTGCTCAAATTATTAGACTTTCAACCAACAGGTCTTCATTTCAAACTTCACTGCACCTACGTCCGTCTGAGCAGAAAGTTGATATCACTAGATATCGTACAATCAGTGTGACTCGAAGCCAAAAACCTGAAAATGTACTTCCTAATTAAGTTGTACTAAGAAATTTGGATGAAAGCCAAGTGGTTTAACTACCTCACAGAAATACACATAGTTTTAACGATGAAGTAATGCAACGAGCTGAAATCTTTCTAACAGTTTTAGAGGTCATAGGAAACTTTAAGAAAGCATAACATTTGGAACAAGTCAGTATGTATTGAAAGTTGACGACGTGGAGAAATAAAAAGTAATCTATACCTGACGTAAGTTTTTCTATCCAGATTATGTCCAATGGGTTTTACTAATCCCAAGCAAGGCCAGGTTGCATCTTGACATCAACAACTAAAAGATATTAACCTTTACAAATAAAATGAAATATTTCTTCTAAAATATTTAATCTCAATGACTATCATAAATGCTGCTGTCATTTCGATTTCTTTGAAGTTTATCTTTTTAATTTCATTTGTTTTTGTCTATGTAGAGTAGGAACTTAGGGTATTTTGACTATGGCTAACTGACTTAGATATCTAATCTATTTTAAATTGCAAACAGTATCTCAACGTTCACTAGTAACATTTCTATCATCTTCCCACTATTAATTGGTTGAAAACAGCAGTCTGCTTCGCATACACAAACAGCTTGAAACTACAAGAACAAGCACCTTATCGTATTATGTTCACTCCTAACATTTTTTCCTATCTCAGTCAACACAACATGTCGGAGTTAGACCCTGGCTTTTCATGAGTTGCTCATACTTCATGTATTACAAGCTTCAAAGTTTATCTACTAACATATCTCCACTTCAATATATATATATATATATATAAGGCGTCTGTCGGTAGCATAAGTTCTGGATTATTCCTAAATTTGTTATGCATAAAATCAGCTTTACTTTATCGAAGGTGGTAAGCAGGTTTCTCTTTTATTTCCACCATATAAATCCAGTGTTCATTGGGAAAAATAACTCATTTCTCCTTCTTGCATCATTTTTGTTATTTAGTGCTCAAATCAAAGTGAAATCTCTGCAGTTGAATGTCCCAAAGCTCGTTCCTCCATAAATTCTCAACAGCATCCAAAAATTTCAGACTATAGCAATGACAACATTAGTGAAAATGAAGAATCTTCAAAACCGAGACTTAATTATAATGTATCCTATCCTCCATTTTTGATAGATTTGTTAACAAAGTCAAAATTACCAAATACTCAAAAAATGGATGATCATTCACTGAGTTAGTTTTATACGCTTTAAATGACCGTTTATATTTTGTACCTATTCTATTTCTTTACTGTTTAATATTCTTTGATTATGATACTTCACTCTATTATTCCTGAATTAGAGCAACAGTTGAAAGGGAATAGTCTATCTTCTCAAAAACTTGAATAATAAAGATCTAGTAATAAAAACATTACAGTTTATGTAGAATTTTCTACCATCTCGGTTTGTCCCTTGGCACTGATTGGTTGAAAAAATAGACTAATCAGCGTACTCCTACTTAGTCTTAACCTAAGCATCCAATTGCCAAGATTTTATTCTACCAACACTGCCTTTCCGTGTTTTATTTCCAAGTTATATTTATATTCTCTTAAAGATTCAGTTGATGTTTTTTGGCTTTATTCAGGTAAACAAAATAAAATTTTGGATGATTTAAACAAACTAAAATACAATATTGATGAACCGATAGCTGGTGCTATTCATGGACCATTGGCTATATTTTCGTAAGTCAACTTTATTTTATGTGATGCCTATAGTAATTTTATCACATAATTCAATAACCCAGTTTATGTATGCAGTTTTTAGTCGTGAATGCTAGTAATATTATCCTTCTACTATTCAGTTGCTTGAAATCGATCAAAGTTCCAACTCGAAATCAAGCGATAAACTATCAAGTACCTTAACCAAGGAAGCACTGCTCCACTTTTTTGTGATTCATGTAAAGAAGTTTTCTAGTTCAAATGACTACAATTTTGCAAATTGGTCAATGAAATTATTGGGTATTATTATTTTAACATTCTTTTAGATATTTATTGCAGTGAACAAAAGTTCAGGTACGATAAACCAATTTTTTGTTTTACTCAAAACCACATAATGAATTTGTAAAATATGAAAATGATACATTAAATACATTATTTGCACATCTTTCTTCAGTTATCCTCTACATACTTCATCATTCTTCTAATTCTGTTGTTATTCCGATTACTCTCTGCTTTCCTTTCTATTCTCTTTATTTCAATGTTCTGCTAGTATATATTATTCTTTCTATTCCTACTATATACTACTTATATCTGTATTTATTCACTTTTATGTCGGATGAGATCATCAGGTTTGTTTTCATTTCGTCTAAGGAAATTAAATCCTGCTCAAGGATATACATAAGTTATACTAATTTAATATTTGAGATTTCATGTATGGAATAATAAATGACAAGTCGGATACTCAGAGAGAAGAAAATAACAAAATAATATCACATTGTCTCTCGTAACTAGGGAAATTTAAAATGTTGAAATCCCAATGAATAGACGAAATTTATTTGGGATGTTTGATCTAATTAGTGACATGACTCAGAATCGATCACAATAGCGTAGGTGTATACACTTTTTATCTTCCCTTAAACAGTGAGATTAAAATCGCTCCATATCTGTCTTTCTTCCTGTACTATATCCTTATATACAGTGTTTCTTTTATATGTTACCATCATTAACTTAACTACTCCTATAAATTCGTTGTTGATTTTGTTGTGCTAATGAGGTATGGCAACTCGGACCGATGCATATATGTGCCTGGTCCTGCGTTGTAGCTGACTGACTGACTGAATACATTTCGAACTTTCTGATTATACATCAACTTACTAGAATGTGTTAACATGTAGTCGGATTGTTCGAAATTTGTTGCCTTTCCATATCAGATAAACTTCGTCTTCCTAATTAAAAACTACCAGATAGCATTTACTATGTATGGCTATTGATTGTATTTTAAACTGTCACTCTATCTACATTGTTTATGATATCTAAACGGATTTATATTTCATTTTTAACTCCCTTTCTTCCAAAGTAATACTAGCAACTGACTTCATTAGCTAACCCCCTAGTTTCTTTAATCATAAACGTTACTTCGCCAGATATTCACAGTTAGACCATCATGCTCTTGCAATGCTCAGTGTCTAAGAATTAATACATACTGAGTTACTTGATAATATAGAAAAACCATACTCCAATACCTCATTTTCGAAATGTCCACTAATTGTCTCAGACTTCATTGTCCCTTCATTTCCATACCAAATAATTTCTGTTCTCGTTCTTTCCTCTTCGATCTTCTCAACCTTCTGCCGCCAGGTATTCTATTCCTAGTTCTTTCTATATTCAACACTGTTTATACTTTGTACTTTCAAACTTTAGTATAAACTGTACTCCTCTTTAATACCTGTTCATATGACGGGGCAAGGTTAGAGTCTAGTAGTTAGGTGTTAGCTCCATTAGAGAGTAAGTTATATGTAATTTTTTGCTAAATGATATTTAATTGTATTTTTTTCTCGCGATAAATATTTTGTATAGAAGTATGTTATTTAGTTAAAAAGACGTCTGTCAAGATGTTTGACTTTCGCACACTAAGTCCCTGGTTCTAACCCCACTCCGTTAACTTTGGTCTGGGCAACTGGGTCGTATCACTAGCTCTAAAACTTGGTGTGGTTCATACCCAAGTACCTAGTGAATTAGTTGACTTAATTTCTTTCAGTTAGGGTGTTGTGGAGATTGCTGAATTTCATTGAAATCATTAGCCGATCAATGTTAGACCGCTATTGAAAACCTGGGAGCGCTGGGTGGTCGTTTCGTTTTAGTACTGGACTCTCCAGCGAAAGCGTGGCCAGTGGAGTTGAACTGTGCAGGATGTAAGACAGTTGCCCACCGGAGACAGTGGAAGGTGGTCGCGCGACATCATAGATTGGTTGGAGTTAGACATTGACACCGTTTGATGCCGGATTAGTGGTCTTTGAGGTTAAGCTTTGGCGTGCGTGACTGTAGGTCCTGATTTCGAATCCCGCGTGTTGGATTATGGATGCTCACTGCTGTGGAGTTTCATGCTTTGATGAAACGGTCATTCACTGCTTCCGGATTTGCGGCTTTGGCAGAAAATTACATCCAATAAATAAGTGGAAAAAATTAACTTATACTAGCACTTTGACCAGTTTCCACTAAATGGGTCAATGTCGAGATGTTCACTTTCTTCACTAGACCTCTGCTTAGACACGCTGGAAGGTGTTCTCAAGCGTAAAAATATAAATTCCCAGAACTTCGTTCAATATAACTTGCTCCACAAGAGCAGTCGGACACATAAATACAAAACGAGTTGGTCATTCTAGGTAATTCATATTTTAGCCTCTCTGTCACCATTGGGCGCGTAGAAAACACCCATATTTATTCTGATCATGAATCTTAAAATTTCACTTGACTTATAAGCTGATTCAAGTTAACATTCTAGATGATTCATCCCAGCATTAACAATTTTATTTGGTTTAACAAACCTAAATTTACATGCTATAATTTTGAACGATGCACTTTGCCCTAAACCTGGGCATCTTTCTGACTAGTAATTTAAATACATAATTGTAAAACGTGAAGAGAATTTATCGAAAAGAATATTCTTCTTTCATGTATTAGTTTTTCTAATATTAGTTCAATTGGGTACTTGCATAAATAGTCCAGTTTCATGAACAGACATCATTCGGTCACTTTGTATTATTGTATCTAGTCATTCTGTTCATTCATTTTAACAAATATAACCTCCCACTTTCCTAAATCAAACACTTAATCGATATATCATATTTATGCATAGTAGATGATTTTTCAAACACAACATTATTCGTTAGCTTTTCACTGCTCTTTTTCATATTTTGTATTACAGAGCGGCACAGTTAGCACAACTCAGCGACGTTTATGGTGGAGATCCTAGTGTAATTGAATATGCGATTTCTTTACTTAAATTTGTCCAACCGATGGGTCGATGGGCTCGTCGTTGGGCCGCTAAACGACTGGATGCTGCAACAGATGGCTTACATTCCCAAGCATGTTATACTTTATCATCTCAGCCTGCGCATACAGTGGAGCCAACCTTAGATAAAGATAAGTCGGATCTGCTCCAGAATTGGATTGACGTGGTGGACATAACGGTATTGTTGAAATATTTTTGAAGGAATCAGCATTAATGATTGTTGCAGAATATTGTGAAATCACTCATTTCACAGATTTTTTACCGACTTACGACCTAGGAGTAATAATATTCATAAGATGTCACACAACTTGATAATGGGAAAAATATTAATATTTTAAAATCATTCCGAATTATTGGCAGAGCTATTTTTCACGTGAAGGAATCTTTCCTAATGAGTTTACCTTCAGAGCTGTACAATCGCATACATACGTAAAAAACTATAAGTCAACGAACAACTGTCTGTTAGAATTTGATTATGCACTAATCACATATTTCTAATATTTTATAGATTTCTTCATTCAATAGCTATTTGGAGATCTAAGAATATTATATAGTCAATTTTCACATGACAAGTAATAGGATTCCAACAGACGCACAATTATTCGTTGAGTTACAATTTATCGTATATATGCAATAAGACTGCGCAACTTCGAGATGGTAGAGAGTATTTGTAGCTCAGTTGGATGACTTTGGTGGTGTTTCGTTCTCTGGGCTGGATAGTTTTGTCTTGGAGCTTTCACTGGTCTTCTGGGAAAAAAAAACATGGTCAGCAAAAACTGTAAATAGATGTGAAGTATTCGAATTTCTCCACATATAACTGGCCGTTTGTCGTGTTAGTTATTATTGACCTTTAATCTGTTGTTGTCCGCATATTTATTCTGATTGTCTCTCTCTCTCTCTTCGATCTGGTCCTCAGTCCTATATTTGTCCATGATTTTTCTAATTGGTAGGTAAATTGGATCGATTTCGATGTGTTTATTGATTGTTGATTGACTTGAGTGTCAAGTTCCCAAAAATTCTCTTGTCGTCTTTGTTTTGTCTCTGTCCAAAAGCTAAACATTTTCCCAGTTAAACATGTGTCCACGTGGATACACCACTATGTTTGACAAGCTGTTGGCGTTCATACAGACAAAAACGAAAAGTGTCAAGTTTGTCCTATGTAGTGTCTCTTGCAGTTGGAACAGTTTATTTTGTAAATGATGTTTGGCTTTTCTTCCGTCATTTTATCTTCAGGTTCGCATAAGGTTGACGTGATCTTGTTGGTTAATCCGCTACATCTATTCCTAATGTTCTCAATTGTAAATCCTTTTTTTCCTCCTTGCCTTGTACCATAAATTCTTGACCCACTTTCATCTCTTAATCAATCTTTTTTATAGTTATTAATATTTGATTTTTAACATCAATTTCGTGATAATCTGTCTCTATGATCGTTTAGAACTTCTTCTAGAATATTTATATTATTTAACATTCAACATTCAGGAATTGATCTCCTACCAGGAGGTCCACTAATCGACTTAAATTACGCAGATGACATAGTCCTGTTTGGTGGAGACGCTGACAAAATGCAGAGTCTTCTGTTAGTAGTGAGTAATAATGCCAGGATGTTTGGGATGCGTTTCTCCCCATCTCAATGTAAATTGTTACCCCAGGACTGGCCTGCTTCAACACTTGAACTAAGGATAGGGAGTGAAGTAGTCGGACGCATCAACAACTTCACTTATCTCGGAAGTCTGATCAGCCCTAATGGGTTGGTGTCTGACGAAATCTCAGCACGGATTCAGAGAGCTCGTTCGACTTTTGCCAACTTACGTCACCTATGGCGAAGATGAGATACCCGCCTATTAATTAAGGGACGAGTATACTGATAACGGAACGAGTATACTGCACAGCAGTTTGATCTATTGTATTTTATGACTGTGAATCGTGGCCATTAAGAGTAGAAGATACTCCTAAGTTACTAGTATTTGGTCACAAATGTCTTAGAAATATTGCTCGCATCTGCTGGGATCACCGGGTAGGTAATAGTGAGGTTAGACACAGGGTATTAGGGAATGATGGTAGATCAATTGATGAGGTGATGAATCTCCATCGACTGAGATGGTTGGGCCACGTGTTACGTATGCCTGAACACCGATTACCACGACGCGCAATGCTGACTAGTGTTGGGGATGGTTGGAAGAGAGTTAGGGGCGTCTAAACCAAAACATGGCATCAGTGCTTGAAGTCACTAACTTCTAGTCTGAGCCATGTTGCCAGATGAAGACTACTTGGTTGGGGTCCGCGTGACTATCGCAACCAATGGTTGGAGACTGATATGTCTTGTAAGTTCAACGCTATATTCAGATCCTAAGCTAGTTCCGTAACCCCAGACTAGAACTATTCACCGAATTTAACACCAGAGAGAAGACTCGAGTATGAGAGAAACACTTTACTGCAAGGTTCCATTTTTGTACAGAAAATCATAGGTATTTATAGACGTTAGCGTATGTTAGATCAACATCCTATTTCAGCCAATCCATTAACGACATATATTGCTACCGACCAATAGTAGGAACTCTAGAATGTTCCATCGTACTCTGATTGGCTGGGGCTCTTTATAAGCCTCTGGACGCTCTGTTAGGGATCTCCGGAAGCCGACTCAACAGAGACCCTAGGTGACATAGCTCAGAATCGATCACAATGGTGTAGTTGTATACACTCTTTGTCTTCTCTTAAACCGTGAAATTAAAATTACTTCATAACTTCTTTCCTTCCTATACTATATCCTTATATACAACCTTTCTTTTATGTATTACCACCACTAAATTAACTACTTCTATGAATCCGGTGTTGATCTTGTTGTGCTAACGAGGTATGCATAAATGTGCCTGGTCCTACGTTGTAGCTGACTGATTGAACTGGATAAACATTTCTAATAGTTCTTCTACAATTATTACTCACGTTTACTAACCTCCATTGATGAGGAGTCTCATAATGTAATATGTAAAATATGTACAGCGTTTTGTTCTTAAATAATTCATACTCTTATTTCTAGGTTTTATTCAGTTGAAAAGAATTTGTGGAATTAAGCAAACTCGTGTTATACAGATACGTTAGTTGTTTTTACTGTATTCAAGTTCATAACTAGTGAGAAAGTTGTATGATGTTCGTTGATATTTAGATAAATTTTTCTTTACTTTACCTTCTAGATTGATCCTCCCACTCCAAAAGTTGATCAGAGTGATGTAGAACATCTCGAACCCTGTTTAGTTGATCTTCTCAATCAGTATGATACAGTTATTTCATGCAGCAATGATACAAATAATTCAGTATTATCTACTAGCAATGAATCCGCGCCCTGTGTTGCTGAGACCACTATAACGTACATTAAAAAAGACAATTTAAACTCAGTCAATACTTCATCTTTATCAGGTTCTTTAGATATACCAGTATCAATCAATTCTTGTAGTGTTGTATCATTCTGTGATAATGATATGTCCAATTCTCAATTAGTTTCTGATTCTGCTTTAAATGTTTCAAATATTCCACAACAAAACTCTTCAACTAGAGAAGTAGATGATGACCTCGATGATGTTATAATTTGTGAATCGGTCCCACCACCCATTGCAACCCACACTCCTAATGTTGGTGTTATTTTGCAACAGTATGATGTAAATGATGCTCAGCAGTCAGAAAAACTCCCACTAATTGCTACTAAACTTCCAGAAGATGAAATAACCATCACTGATGAATGTGCTTCTTCATCTGTAAAATCTGTGGACTACGTAGTCCCTCCTGATACTCCCAGTCTAAATGAACATGAATTAGATTCTGTTGATCATATAAATGATGAGCAGATATCAGAAATCTCAGCAGACAGTTCAACTTCACTTTTAAAAACTGCACTCAGTGGTTCTTCATTTTCACTGAATATTTCACATGATCGCATAACTGTACAAAATAAAGGAACTGTTGATGGATTGGAAGATAGTTTTGGAAATCTGTCTTCAGGTAGTGATTGCTCAACTGTGATGTCAACACACAGTTTGTTTTTAGACTCACATCTTATTACGCACAAAGAATTACCTGTTAGTGTCCCACATATAGAAAATCAGATTGCTGTCAGTCATTGTAACTCAATATCAAGCTGTTCTGAAACAACAGATTCACTAACTGACCCTGTGGTACAAAACCAGTATGGAGAAATATATGCTGATAATCGTTTAAATATCGATGCCCACTCCGCGATTCTTGATACTGCTGAAAGTTCTCACTCAATTATCTTGTCAAACTCAATGTTATCAGATAATACCTGTGAAGCTAATGAATAGCTGACATCTAATAATAATATCTCATCAGTTTCTTGACTTAAATTGTTACTTCTTCTTACTACTACTTTCTCTCTGTACATATTATTGCATATATAACTGTGAACAATACCTTATTCGAAAGCCATGGATTTATATCACTTTCATATTCAAAACGTATGTTTATTGTTCAATCCTTTTTGGTATTTTAGAAACCGTTGCTCTTAACTCACTCTATATTAATATCTTATAATTTGTATAATCACTTAGTTTGTAAATATCTTCTTAATCAAAATGTTTATCATTATCGTATTACTCTTAGTTATGTTCACTAAATTTTTTTGTAAATACCTTCGCATAATAAAAATATTGATTTCATGAAATATTGTTATTTGTGGTACCTCTGTTTATGTAGTTTCAGTATATGATGTAAATGATCAAGAAAATACTTCACATTTTCTGTTATTGTTTTGCAAATGTTTATATTGTTACAGTAGTGTAATATGACCGTGAATATCTTTAAATTGTTGGCATGTTAATCAACAATTTTGTTTAAAACATGCAATTTATTTACAATTTGATTGATCACTGGGTGGTAAACAATGTCATGCGTGTCAAGTCCTTCTTAGTGCTGATCAAATGCTATCGATCAAGTTGCAATGTGGCCATTAGTCTAGGTGGCTCGAAACTGCGTGCACTATGTTGAGATAAGATGATAGTTGGAGGTGGTCAACAGGAAACCCTGAACCCGGGTTTTGTGCTACTTGGCACTCGTCAGCAAGATGTACCTGTAATCTTGAGGGAACTGGTGCTTTCTGATGTATTCGATCCCGTGTCACTCAGCTTCACAGTCAGAGACGTTACCACTGAGCTACTCGAGCTGCAATTTATTTACCTCCTGTTCAAAGTACAAAGCAATCCGTTTTTTCAGATTGTTTATCTTATCTAGTTTTTTTATTAACACGATTAAGATTTGAAAGGCTACAAGTTATAATTATTCTCTATTTGCTACTAACGTGACAAGTACTGTTATGGCTCCTCTTATGTATTTGGTTAATTAACAAGTCTATTTCAATATGACTTTAAAATTTATGGATGACTAGAACATAACTGCTTCATAATTTTTTCAAACAGTTCTCCGTCTGTAGACGTAAATAGGATATGAAAGACTAAATGGTCAGTTTGAATTAAATTAGCTTTCGTAGTTTAGCCAATTATAATTAATCTGAAGTTTGACATTAACACCGTTGGACGCCGGCTGGCTCAGTGGTCTAATGGTTAAGCACTCGTGCGCGAGACTGATATGTCCTGGGTTCGAATCTCGTGAGTCGAGATCGTGGATGCGCACTGCTGAGAAGTCCCACAATAGGATGAAGCAGCCGTCCAATGTCTCCAGGTTTTCCATGGTGGTCTAGCCTCAATAGACTCATGATTTCAACTATATAAAATTGCTAAGATCCCCTTCTGGTAATGATCATATGCTCACTAGTGACTGACTCCATGAAGTATTTCCTGGAGTTCTAGTGCGAAGCAGTAACCTGTGGAGTTCAACCAGGTCTGTTGGAAGATATCAACTCACTGAAGACATTGGTGAATGATTGCTCAATTTCGTGGATTGCTTGAAGTTAGACAACACCATTGTATGACGGCTCAATGGCTTTAGAGGTTAAGCGCTCGCGCGCGAGACTGATAGGTCCTGTGTTGGAATCTCGCTAGGCATGATCGTGGATGTGCACTGCCGAGGAGTCCCACAATAGGACGAAATGGCTGTCCAGTGCTTTCAGGTTATCCATGGTGCTCTAGCTTCAATTGACTCATGATTTCAACTATATAAAATTTGGACAATATTTTGCATTCTGTCTGTGAACTCCTTGAAGTCGGTTTCACATGTGTTTATCTAGACACCGTTAATCTCAAAAACTAAATCAAAATCAGGTGGTGTTTCGTTTGCTAACCTCAATGATGATAGGCATAGTGTTTCTGGATTAGTTTATCTGCTTTCGTTTGTATGAGAATGTTTCAAAATCCATTCGTAAAATGTATCCATGGTAAAGATAAAACACTAAGTGATCACTATGGTTCAAACTAATAAAGATGCACATATTAGTAAACGTAAGTATCAGAAGAGAAACTAAAATCTATAAGTGTACGAGATCTATCTCCTTGCCTCTAGGATTCATCGAAAACTTGCTTTTCTAAACATCTAATAAAGAGTCTGTTTTCAGAAATAATGTGAGTTTTCGAATTTAGTAGCAATCTATTATTATTACTACGCAAGTCATTTTATCTTGTATGTCGATATCGAACAACTACTGGATATTTTATTTAGAAGGATGTTTCAGATATGTTCGATGAATTTAACGTTGAGTTTTAGGCGCCAAAATCATGCCATTCAAATTTTAAAAAGTCATGCACTATTTCATTGTATATATCGCCAAAAGCACTTTGTGCTTTTCATATGAACTTGATGAACTTTTATTTTGTATATCATTGACTTCCGCCTAGATTTTGTTCAATATCAATTAAATGAACAAGTGGAACTTAGTAGGCGTACTTGATGCAATCAATGTTACTAAGCATTCAAATAGGTCAGATTATCGTTAAATCCAGTTAAAGCTATACTCGCGTTTATTCTTGACGGACAAAAACGTTTAAACAGTCTTACAAATGTTTTATAGGCAGTTTCGCTGGATAGGTAGTAACACTTCATCATTTTAAACCTGAGCTATGTGTGCAAAAACATCGCGTCAAACTGTCATCATACTATGATTCTAATACATGATTTTACACAAAATCACTCAGTTATTGATACTTCATTTCAATTTTTTTTAATGTTTAGCCATTTGTTACTACCACCGTGTTTCTAGTTTATTTTTCATCTTTCCAATACTCTTTAAATGGATAAATATCCTTCACAAATTTGGTTTTACCCTACTGGTTTTCCACTACTTCTCGATCGTTATCTAATATTAGTTTAATCCTTGGATTTTTGTACTACTCTTTATATTTTTCAACAGACTAAGAGGGGTTATAGTCGTAAATAAGAAAACGACCAAGACATTTGAAATTCAGATTCCGACCAGTTGGTAACTCAGTCATAAAATGGTGATTCATTATTGTTGGATCCATTTTGCAAGTGAAAATCCCTCCATGCATACATTTGTGATTTCTTACGTGTTCTTGATTTGTATATGATGTTAACATTTTTGATGTTAATTAAGACTGTAACGTTCAATTTTCTTGGTTTCACTATCGTTTTTTACTGAGTCTCTATGTTCCTTATTGAGCTGTATCTAGTTTGCTTTAATTGCTATTATTCTGGCATCTGTCATATTGGCTGCTCGCTATTTGATTGTGCGGTTTGATTTTGACTAAAAATCGTGCATTTTTGGTTGTAATTTGGAACACTTTCTTAGAAATTGAAACACTATGTTATAAAATAGCCACTCAAACGAAATCTCACTTGATCTATCCAGAAAAGATAGAATAACGCTTACCTTTTGGTGTTTTTGGTAATTTTTCATATATTTCTTATCACCTTGCTATTTATTGTAATTTAGATTGAATATTTTGGTTGAATAACCAAGTGATAATATTCGTTTAGGTAAATTTGTACAGTTGTATATATAATGAAATTTAGAACCGTGTTACCCAAATACCTTGTTGTGATTTAGACTGGGGCACGAGTGTATAGAACTATTCCTCGGTTATTCGGCCACATCCAGACCTATTGGAATCTAGGTTTGGATTTTACAATTATTACAACTAAATAATCTCATATAATAAATGACAATATAGCAAATCATAAGTGGGATTCATCAATTTAATATAGGTATAGAAGTTACACAACGTAGGTGAACATGTCTACAAGCCGTGTACTATTTTACGTCAATAGACGCGCGTCGATCTTCTACTACCATTTTGATACCTATTGCGACCTTATACTTTCTTACGTACTGCTGATAGATTAGTTTGGCGAACTACTCAGTATTTTAGGCTCCGTTTTTTTCCAGGGCGTTAATGTATTTCCATATGCTTGAATGGGCAATGGCAGTAAGGTTGAGGAAGATCTATGCCACCCCCTACGTCAAATATTCGTCTTAAGGAGGTCTTTCACAACAGATAGTAAGTCGCAAATATTTCACACCATTAAAAATGTTATTCGTTATTTCAATGCTCGCCTTATCGATGGTCGCCCTAGTTAATGCGTGTCATTTCTAACCGCGTCCTTTTTATAGTCACCCTTTAACTCTAACCCTTATTAGTCCGGATCTGAGTGAGGAGACATACTTGAAAGCATCAAAGATTGGCTGAAAATTTATCGGTTTTGGTCCACGAAAGTATGCAAAGTAAACTTCATAATCAAAGCTTATCAATTGCAAATCAGCAGAATTCGTTGAAGCATATCTTTTCATTGAAAACATCCTGACACCTTTGTAAAAAGTAGGGTGTTTTTGCCAACAGTCCAAAGTCACCGTCACTACTTCAGGGAAATTTAGTAGTAATCAGAATTGCTTTGGTTCAGAGGATGAGATAAAATATGGTCTTTGAAGACTACATGCAAAACTGTTCGTCATATCAACTGAGTCAAGAATATTCATTTTCATGACGCCAGAAAATTCAAAATCTTTTACCTTCGATATACGCTTAACTACTCTTAATATTTATAGATCTAGGAAACAGTAACTTTTGGGACCTAATCATTCTATAAAATTTGGCACTTTTACGTTAGGTCATTTAGCTACTTACAGAAGCAGTCAACTGACCTGCTGAACGAAAAATTATTTTCTTCATCAGCGGATTGTTTTGTTTATCCGGTAAGCCATTAACATAACTGTTCCTTTTAAATTAGCTGGGACCATGTGCACATGCATAATACGACAGTCCACCCAGACACCTTGTAGGTCAGCCATTTAATTATTTTCGATAGGTCAAGGATTGATTGGTATGATGGGACAGTTAACTCCTTAAAACACGAGCTGCTTCTTATCGTTTTGGCAGTGCTTTATGATCTCCCATGACAAAATAAGCAAATCCTTATGTCTATTATCAACTACAATCATCATTGTAATGACTGAAATACCAGTATTTGGTCTATACCCAGAACTAACGAACCAAAATTCATTTTATTAGAACAGACTACGTTCTTCTATATAGCGTACAAAGCGGTTTTGAATGACTCGTATTAAATTATATAAAAACATAAACTCTGTCTTCAATATAAACGGTTCTAATCTAGGCAAGAGAATAAATTATATTGAAAGCACAAAATACCTCAAGCGGTGCAGTCTGCACTATACAGTTAAGAGTTTGTAGTGACTTACTTTTCTCGACAAGAACCCGATTGTTATAATGGGAACAATTGTGCCAGTGATTGTTTTACTGTACTCGTTTTGTTTAACTGCATCAAAATCACTTTTCGTTCCGTCGTCCATCTTGTTCGCTCGAGCTCTCTTACGC